GGCTTGCTTCTGTGCCTCACAAGTAAGGCTTCATCATCCCCTGAAGGTTAAAGCCAATTTTCACTCCAAGATGGGTCCTGATAAAGCTGCCTGTTTAGTGAATACCCTTTGTGTTTTCACACCTGATTGATAACTGATGGCCAAGTCCAACACCAATAAGAGGGTGGGGGAGATCTGAATTAACTCTGAGTCTACTGAAGTGTGTAATTGCCAGTACTGGAGAGATTAAAGGCTATTAGGTTTTGATTGCATTCTTCTTTCAGGAGCAAATTCCAACCCTAATACATGTTTTTCGCTTCACAAAAACATACAGGGGTTCAAAAAGAAAAAAGTGATGTCACACACATTCAGTTGTGATCCTCTTTTACAATGGGATCCTTTACATTTCTACTTGGAAGTAAGTTACACTGAGTTCAATGGAACTTAAGCCCAGGAAAAAGGTCTAGGACTACCATCTTACCGGAGCAATCCTATGCATGTTTAGCCAGATAATTTAGACTTTCTTTTCTAAACAGGTATAGGCTTGTGTCCTTAATCATGTACTCTACCATACAGAGAATGTAGGAGTTGTATTTTTCCCCATCATGAACTTAAATGTGTGCATAATATACATTACTTCATGTTGTGAGTATAACATACCAGCTTTACTAAGACCACTTAAAGGGGTTGAATTGAAGTGAGCATGCTTTGGACTTCATCAGAACACAGTCAGCCAGTATGTTAAGTAACAAACAAATGAATCCAACAATAAAGTTGGGAAAACCCATGTCGGCAGTTTGTCATGATCTGTGATGGAAATGTTTACAGGCAAAAAACAGGCTTAATGAAATCATTTTCACAAAGGCTATGAGCCTGAAGCATGACTTTGTGTAGTTGTCTGGATTGGCCTCTAGCCAATATATATTAACATTAAAAGTCCTGACTGGTTCTGCCCTGGTTACCTGAAGGATTGTCTCCACCCATATCCCTGTCTAGACTCAAAGAACAACTTCAGCAGTCCTTCTGGAGCACCTGCCAGGAAGTAAAGTGGATAGCTACAAAACAGTTGGTATTTTCTGTGGTGCCATTTGCTCCCCAAAGAGATTGTGCAATGAGCTCCTCAGAAAGATTTGCCTGGTCCCAACACTTTCCAAAGGTGAAGACCTTCAGGTACAGACCTGAAGAAACCCTCTCTGGATCTAGAAGATAACATCCTCAGTCTTGGAGCAGGTACTGACCAAACAGCTCCAGTCACTCTTGATTGATAACCTGGATCCATTTTGGTCAAGTTTTGGCATGGCAACAGTTTTGCTTGTCCTGTATGAGGAACTATCACACCATGGCTAGATGGGCAAAAAAGCCCATCTACCAAACAAAACCCCAAAACAGTAAGATGGGAGGAAAGGAAACCGAAATCATCTCCACTGATCTACTTTCTGTAAGTTCTGCTGACCTGTTCGGTTCTGGAAATGGTAGTTTCAGCTAGTTTCTAGCTGCTCTAGGAAGCAGTAGCTTCTTACTGCATTAGTAGACATTAGTAACTGCATTAGTAGACATTTATGTTAGTATGAGGACAGTTATGGATACTGCCCAGACTATGTGCAACTCTAAAATGCAACATTAAAACAATACAGGGATATTAAGAGTAAAGTATATGCATTTAGCTCTTAATTCTGAACAACACTCTTTCTAGTTAAAAACTGGCTTGATGGTTGAACATGGTAAGCATACTTGATGGAAAAGCTTGGTTGCCTGGCTCTAAACTGTATTATCACTACACAACATACTGGCACATCATGAAGGGTTTTGGAAAAGCTCTTCTGGTATGCAGTGCTACAGAAGTGACTTTATGTTGGGTTTAGCTTGTGTTTGTTCACACTCTTTGCTTACCCTTACTGAACATCACAATTGCCCTACTGGATGAGACAGACCTTCCTCATCCCACTTTCAACAAAGTCTGGCCAGATGCCTCCAGGAAGCCCACAAGCAAATTGTGCAGGCAACAGTTCCCCAGCCATGGTTTCTTGCCAGCACCTGGCCTTCTCAGGTATATGATCCATTTAACCAGCATAGCTAATAAGCTGTTGACAGACCTGTCCTCTGTGAAACTGTCAGTCCTCTTTAAAAGTGGCCATCATTGACAGCATCTTGTACTAATGCAATCTGTACATCAGTTATGCCTTGTGTGAAGCAGTACTTCTGTGTGTCTTTCCTGAGTCTACTGCCAATCAAATTTTACTGGGTGATCTCAGTTTAGGAAAGATAAAGGATGTTCTCCATCCATTTTCTTCACACCATTCACTGCTAAGCAGTAGATTAGATCTGAATCAAATAACGAGAAGTGTAAATTAACCATTGCGTGTGTGCGCTCGCTCTCTCTTGCTCTCTCTCTCTCTCTCTCTCTCTCCCCCCCCCTTCCTTTGGACAACTTGGGCATTCTCTAGACTTCCACCCATGTTCCAAGGAGTTGGTCCAGAAATGTCTTGCTATTCCCATGCTTACTGTACAATTTATGCAAATTGTCAGCATATTTGGAGTATTCCATTATGTATTTACTGTATCTCAAAAGAGGACTGTTTGAAGCTGAATTCCCATTCAAAATTGATAGTTATTAAAAAGTGATAGTGAATTATTTGAGTGCATAATTTTACATGCTCACATGTCATTAGAATATTCCAAGTCATTAATCAGAATTATAAAAGCAGGAAACACAATTGCTAGTTGCCAGTTGGAAAACTCTTGCAAGCTATTATATCAAGAGATCAACTGCTTTTGGTTTTAGTCATAAAAAACTCCTCATTCTGTGAAACAGAGAACAGGGTTAGGTGATATATATCCACACTTAATGCATTTGGTAAAGCATTCTCCGAAGCTTTTGCGGGCCAGCTTTTATCATTTCACCAGGATGGGAAGAATGAAGCTTTATCTGATCACTTCCTGCCCCCTCAGAAGCAAACTCTAGCTGGGGTAACAAACAAATGAAGCAATTTCTTGACCATAACCTTTGAAAACTCATTCACGGGTATGATTGAAGTTATAAAAATGTAAGATTTTTTAGAGTTACAGGGTATAATCCTAAGCACCCTTGCCTGGGACTAAGACTTGTTGAATGCAAAGGGATTTACTTCTCTGTAGACATGTACACTCTGTTTGTATTCTGACATGATTGCTCTGTTTATGTTCCTGACATCCCAAAATGAGAGATTTTACTTGTAGTATCTTGACTCAAAAGTAAGCCCCAATTAGTTCAATGAGACCTCATTCCCAGAAAGGCCTACACAAACTAAGTTAAAGGAAGTATAACTCCAAGGTACTTGCTCCTAAGTAAATACACATAGGGCCAATTATGCAAGCATGTTCAGTATTTCACTCTTGTTCAGATAGTGATGGGAAAAGAACTAAAAATCAACCCCAAAATCTTCCTCTCCGCCACCTTTTAGTATGTAAAATTGCATTTCTTCAAATATCCAGTCTCCAAGGTTGTACTACTGAATTTTAGGGGATTCAATGAGATCTGCTAGATTACATAGCAATATTTTATTTTTAAGAACCTTGTAGCATGATTTGAAGTGCATTTACTCAAAAGTAGCTTCCACTCAGTTCATACAACTTAGCATCAAGGAAAGCACAGGGCTGCAGCCCAAGACTTAAACACACACCAAGTTATGGGTGGAGCAGATCAAAGGCACAATTTAGTCTCCAAGTGTACTTACCCATGAGTACTTTCCCACTGACACTGAGTATACAAGATCCAAGTCAAAACATGTAGCCACTAATGGAAATATATTGCTATGTGAATTCAGAGCTGATTTGATTACTATACCTTTTCTACAGAGAATTTGATTCTGTGTAAGAAAAAGCATGGAAACAGCATGCAGGTGACAATCACACAGGTGGAGCCAATTTGGGGTCACTGCACATGTAATTGGAAAAGTAATATTTGAAGTGTCTCTTAGAAAATATAGAGACTGCTTCAGGGTTGCTTTATGTCTGTAATTTGAAGAGATCAGTTCCTTATTTAAATAACTGTATCATTTAATTAGAAAGCTTATTCCCAACTGCAAATTCACACATAAAAATGTCCTTCTTGGAACGTTCAAGAAAGCTGCTCTGAATGCTGCACGATTCCGTTACTAATTTTTTAACACATCTGACAACCTTTCATTCTGTTTATGGGCTCTTTCTATTAATTAACACACACACCCACAATCTGAACTCTAAACATCCTTCACAGAGGAAATGAAGGATTAAAGAGCTAAAACCAAGGCAAGAGATGAGGACAGAGATTGTGCAATGCGGGGAGGGGGAGAGGATAGTAAGGCTTGCTTGCAAGACAGACATCACACCCTTTGTGCTAGCTAGGTCGCCAGTAATAAGCCCATGAAAATTATATCGTTTCAGCACGAATGAAATAAGTCAGGGCTGCAATCCAAAAACGGATTCAGTTGACCGTTAAATAACTGTTATAGTAATTTATAGTGCCATCTTATGCACGCCTAATAGTTAATGAGTTCAATGGAACTTACTCCCAGGCCATTTCTACACATCGAAAGATTTAGGCTGTACACCTACACATAATTATTTGGGAGCAAGTCCCAGTCAACGACATGAGACATACTTCCGAGAGGACCATGCATTGGATTGTTGCATCTTATACCTAAGGTGCGATGACAGACCCAGTACGGACCAAGTCGGTGGAGCATAGAAAGCTGCGTATATGGAGCCGGACCATCGGGCGCAGGATGGTCCGCCCGACACCGGCTGGCAGCAGCTCCGTAGCGTGTTTCCCAGCCTGCCGTGAAGACGGCCGTCGCGGGGAGCTCCGGCGGGCACTAAAGCGAGACGGCGAGGAACAGGCGAGTGGCCCGAGCGGGGTCACCCGAGCGCCTGCCCGCTCAGGGACGCGCCGCCGGGCACGGCCGCCTCCCGCCCCAGTGCCGCCGGCGAGGGCAGGCGTGGCCCCCGCGCCCGGGCTGGCCCCGCCGCCCCGCCACCGCCCTGCCGCGCCGCGCCGCGCTTACCAGCTGCTCCTTCAGGGCGGCCAGCGTGCTCTCCAGGCGCTGCTCCTTGCTGCCGTCGGCCGCGCGCGGCATGGCCAGGGCGCCGCTCACCAGCGCCCGCTGCTTCTCCCGCAGCACCTGCAGCTCCTGGAGCCCGGCCAGGGCGGCTTGCAGCCGCTCGCTGACCCTGCAGCGGTCCCAGCCGCCCGGCCGCTGCTGCTGCGGCTGCCTTCCCAGCAGCATCTTCCGACGCCGTCAAACCCAGGCCATGCCCGGCGACGCCGCCGCCAGAGTCGGCTGCTGCGCGGGAGACCGAGCGGCGCGGCGCCCTCTCCCTCCGCCGGCAGGAGGAGGACTGGAGTCAGACGCGCGGCGGCGGCGGCGGCGGGGAGGGGAGGGGAGGGGAGGGGAGGGGAGGGGGCGAGGCTGCGGCGCAACGCCCGCCCCAGCACGGGGCAGCCCCGGGCCGCCGCCGAGCGGGGCAGACCGAGCCGCAACGACGAGCCAACCGCAGCTCGGCCTCATTCATTCGTCTCCTCCTCCCCTCCCTCCCGCTCTCCTCTCCCGCCCGGGCATCCCCGCCCTTTCGTGGATAAGGTTCACCGAGAGGTCTGCTGTTCTCTGGTCTCGCGTCAAGTGTGCGTGTGAGTGGGCGCGCGTGTGCGTGCAAAATCTCTCTCCCACAAGATCCCACATCCCACAAGATGCGCCCCGTGAATTCAGGCTGGACATCCTTAAGCTGCAACATCCTAGGCAGGAAGCCTTGCTAGACTCGGAGTGACTTACTCCCGAGTAAGCATGCTTTGGTGAAGGGGCGGGGAAGAGACTGGATCGCACCGTCCGGGCGCTGCTTAAATCTGCCCCGCACTGCAGAGCGGGAGCCCCGCGTCCCTCCGCTGCAGTAGCGAAACCAGCGAAGTGACTTGTGGCACCCGTAACACTCTTTAGTCCTGATCTTTTTTTTTTCTTTCAAATGCACTTGCAAGGTAGTCCCCATGGTTTGTTTAACCTACGATCTCACCTTTCTTCCAGTGAGGAGCTCGGGGAGAGAGAGAGACTCAAGCAGACACTGATTTCGAGGGATCTTAATTTGTGTGGTCTAGGCCCAGTGCTTGCCTGCTTGGGCACCTTTTAGGTATCATGAGAGAACCAGCAGGAATTTGTACTTGGATTTTCAATTTCTGGACCTGCTCTGTCTCTTGTTTGTTCCCTCCCTCAGTTTCAGCCTGGCATACTCCCCAAGTAAGAACCAATTAAATATGTTTTGAGGCCAAAGTCTGGGTGCCAGAATGTGAGGGAAGGGGAAGAGGAAGGTACTAGGAAGAATCATCTGTAAGGAAAAACTGTGAATGTTTCCGTCCTGTGCTGTACATGAGGCTGCCTTTGAAAATGGTCTGGAAACTTCAAGTGATCCAAACAGGGCAGCAAAATTATTAATGGGGCATGAGAACATGTTATGCCAATCCTCTTCCTGCTGCACTGGTTACCAGATCGAGTCTAGGCCAGATTCAAAGTGCTAGCACTAGCATTTGAAACCTTAAATCACTTGGGGCCAGATTATCTGAAGGATTGGCTCATTCTGTATGTAGCTACCCAGACTCTGAGGTCATCTTTGGGGGGTCCTTCTCTAGGGAAGTTAGATGGGTAGCCTTCAGGAGGAGGCCTTTTTGGTTGTGGCACCCACATCTGGCACCTACTTTGTATTCTTTTTGGTGCCAGGTAAAAACTTTTTCATTCTCTCAGCATGTTAACAGTTAAACTTTTCAACTTTGTTTTCAATATTGTATTATATTCTGTACCATCACGATGCTTCTATGCTGATTCAATTGCAATTACTCTTGTGGGTTTGTTGTTTTAAGTTAATGTTGCTCCGTAGTTGTTTTTGTGTATGTGTTTTAATTTTTTACAACTTTTGTAAACTGCCTATTAGGTGGTATAAAAATGAAATAAATACATAAGGATAGTATCCAATGCCTTCTTTTTAGGTCACACAGCCAACCGTATTATAGAATGCAGAACTAGCTCTAAAGACACCACAGCTCCTTAAAGCATAGTAGAATGAAATCAAGATATAAGGTGCAATCTTATGCCTGTTTGGACAAGAAAAAAAAAATCCGACAACCCCAAGCATTCCTTAGCCTGCCATGCTATCTGGGAAGTGCTGGAAGTTGTAGGACCTTCTTTTTCTTGGTCTAAACAGGCCAAAGAGGACCCCCTTACTCATGCTTAGAGTAATCCACTAAAACCAATGGGAGTTAGACTGCAGGGGTGGGCTGGTGTCCCTTACCCTCTTTTTCCATGAGATGGCCCTTAGTTTAAGGGGTGACTCAGTCATACATTTGAATTGCCTGATTCACAGCTGGATATGTCCATCTAAAAAATATGTTATAGAATCATAGAATAGTAGAATTGGAAGGAACCATGAAGGCCATTGGGTCCAACCCCAACCCCCCCACCGCTGCTGCAGGACACCAAGTTACACCATCCCACTCAGATGGCTGTCCAGTTTCTTTCTGAATGTCTCTAGTGCGGGAGAGCCCACCACCTCTCTAGACAGCTGCTTCCACTTGTCGCATTGCTCTGACAGTGAGGAAACTTTTCCTGATATTTAGCCTGAATCTGGATTGTCACAGCTTGACTAGATTATTCTGTGTCCTACACTCTGGCATTAGCAAGAAGAGAGAAGATATATGCTTAAGGAGCAGTCATGTGAAGGCTCTGCCTCTATTTTTTACATCCAACCTTTCCTTCAAGGAACCACACATCAGTGGCCCCCAACATGGCATCTCTGGGTGCCAGTGCTTCCCTGCAGAGACCTCTGTGGCGCTTATGAAGCTCTCCTGGTTCAAAAATGTTCAAAAAACAAATCTGAGCAATGTAAGGATATCAGATTCTCTGTCCTGTTCCTGAACTTACCCCCGATTAGCTGATTAGCAGGCAGGAGAAGGAAAGAGTTGTTTCTGGGCACCCTCCAATATTTGCTTCCCAACTCCATCCTCTGGGGCTTCCATCACTGAGACTTCCCCATTTCTGGGGGTCTTTCTCTTTTCCCATTCACACTTACAATGCACATTTTTTCTTCTTGGAAGGAACACAGGGTGGCTTACAAGGTCCTCCTCCTCTCTGTTTTATCCTCACAACACAGCACATTTCCAGGTTGGGAGCAGGGGTGGGGAATCTGATGGCAGAGAAGGTGGCCGGAGTGTCAGATGTGGAGTGGTGCAGTTGACTGTGGGGTCGATGCACAGAAAACATGCTGTTTCTTGATGGGGCTAGGAGCATTTTCCTTTCCATAGGGTTTAGGAAAGGGGTGTGTGTGTGTGTGTGTGTGAAGGATATGGAATCCTACGTAGGTCTGCTTAGCAGTAATGCCCATTGGTGTCCCTGTCAGCTTGCATACCATTGCAACTTTAAATGTCTATTTTGTTGGACATCTTTGAGTGAAATGTATGGCTTGGCTTTACAGTTTAAACCCTTCTTCTGCTTATACTCAATTTTGGTTTATATTACTTGTCTTTTAACTAGCCATACCATCCATGTGGCTGGCTGCCTACTCCACTGGAGCTATTTTGTGGCAGTGCTCACAGCAGTTTCTCAAATTCCTAAATGTCCCTGCAAAAGTTGGTGTCCCCTTCCATACATTGCTCTTCCTCTCCCATTCTGTTCTCACAACAGTCCCATGAGGTAGGTTAGGCTATGGAATAACCATTTTCCTGGCCACCCATGAACTACCTGGCTGGACTGGGAGCTGATTTGGGTCTTCCCAGTCCTAGGCTAACCACTACACTACACTCTCTCTAGGGTGATTGACTGCATGTGCAAATGACCACTTGACACTGCTGCAATCGCTGAACAATCTTCAACGATGTCTTCATTAATGGACAGGATTCCATCATCACCTGCCATTTTTTTCCAGACACACACGAAACCAAACACACAGTTTTGCTGAAATCACTGTGCAAGCCACCTTCTCAGAAACCCACAGAAAACCTACGGATTTCCCCATATTTCTTTCTTCTGAAATGTTGATCTGGCAGCCTTAACCAATTCCCATTTCTTTCTTCATCTCCTAGAGGGGAAGGAGGAGGGAGAAACTTTATTGCTTTTGCACAAAAGGAACATGTCTAGGCTGAATAAATCCAGCAGAAAAAAAGTGATTACAGGAGGCTTCAGCGGCTTTAATCTCGGGGACTTTTCATTTAAAATACAGTAAAAGCCTGCAGAGTGGAAGTGGCGGGGGGGGGGGGGGGCACTGATCCATGAGGTGCATCTGTTTTCAGTTTGATGGTTGCAGCTTTCTAGATAAGCCAATATTTTCTCCAATGATTATTTTGAGAGTGGGCTCAAATGCAACCCTGATATAAAGCTGGCACCACATCAGTCGAGTCAGTGGTTCAAACGCCGCTCTTATTCAACAGTAGTCACTTCTAATAAAAAGACTCAGTCTGGATTTTAACCAGTCCATGGGAGACAAAAATCTAATCTTGGGGGAAGGTTACAGAATATCATGGCAGGGTGAACTGCAGAGCCTGAAGGCCCATGAGGCAGCCAGTCTGAGGCAGGCCTGGGTTGGGTAAGTGCTTGGAAGTGAGATCACCTCCAAATATCACACGGAAGAAAGTGGGGCTATGGATGTAACAAATAAGAGGACATGTGATCCTGGGATCATTTAGCAATCCCCTTCCAAGGCCATAAGCACTGGTGTGACCTTGGAAGGGGACTCCTGAGTCCGATAAATAAGTTGCTGTCAAGAATCCTCCATGTGAAATTTTGATTTCCTTTTGCTCCTCTGCTGAAACAAATCACGGCAAAAGTAGGTTGGAAAATTTGGCACAATGCTGGCAAAAGCTCACCATTCCTGCCCTTCTACAGTATCCAAAATTTGTCCCCCAAGGTAGCAGCTGCCTCACTCTGCCCAAGTAATGTTTGGGCCAGCCCTGGATTAAGAGTGCTGTGCTCCAACTTGGCACTGGAATGCAGGGACATTACAATAGCATCTTCGTAAATTGTAAGTACAGCAGGACTTCTGTATCTGCCAAGGTGGGTTCCAAGCCACCCAGAGGATGCCTGAAACTGCAGATATCCCTTGAATATCTATATCTGTTGTTAAAAACTTTGGCATAAGGGCTGCCTTCAGTGGGCAGTGAAAAAAAATGACAGGGTTAGCACCAGGTGATCTTCAGTGGAAAATTCATTTCATAGATGGGGGTGGGCACCACTAAGAAAAGTCTTACTCTCGTTGA